TGTGTGTGTGTGTGTGTCTGCTTTCTCTCTGAATCAGTGAAATCCCAAGTGTGTGACGAGAGTGATGAGCGGACGACTGTAAACACGGCTGTATGAGTGTGTATATGTGTGTGTGTGCGCGTGAGTGAGTGAGTGAGTGTGTGTGCATGAGTGAGTGAGTGAGTGAGTGCATGAGTGAGTGTGTGTGTGAGTAAGTGCGTGTGTATGTGTGCATGAGTGTGTATGTGTGCGTGTGAGTGTGTTTGTGTGCGTGTGAGTGTGTGTGTATGTGTGTGTGTGTGTGTGTGTCTGCTTTCTCTCTGAATCAGTGAAATCCCAAGTGTGTGACAAGAGTGATGAGCGGACGACTGTATGAGTGTGTATACATGTGTGTGTTTGTGTGAGTGTGTTTGAGAGTGTGTGTGCGTGCGTGTGTGTGAGTGCGTGCGTGCGTGTGAGTGTGTGTAAGTGCGTGTGTATGTGTGCGTGTGCGTGAGTGCGTGAGTGAGCGAGTGTGTGTGTGTGTGTGTGTGTGCGCGCATGTGTGTGCGTGTGAGGTCAGGTGGTCAGTCATTTGCGCTCCAGCTCTTTACTCTGTTTCAGCTCCTTAATCCTGCAAACACACACAATTATAATAAATAACTAATCTGAACTAATTTTCATACATTTTCAGCAAATAAATCTGAAGATTGAAAAAAGCCAGTTTCAAAATTATAGTTTGATTTTGTTGTCATATTAGAGCTAAAGGTTTTTACGGAGGGAATTTTGGATTCTGTTTTTATCACTCCATAAATCAGAAAAAATTTATTTTCACCATGTTTTTTAGGAGTAAAATGTAGTATAAATCAGTGTGAATGAAATATGAACAAACCCCACGGAAAAACCTTCAGAATATAGAGAGGAATAAAACTAAGTTTTGGTGTGTGTAAGTGCTGCTGAAGTGGAGAATAAACTCACAGCTTTTAAATATATGCATTTTTACCATGTTTTTTTATAGATAAAATGTTGCATAAAATCAGAAAAAATTATATATGAACAAACCCCTCATTAAAAACCTTCAAATTATAGAGAGGAATAAAACTAAGTTTTGGTGGATGTAAGTAATGCTGGAGTGGAGAAAAAAAAACTCACAGTCTTTAAAGATATGCATGCTTTAAAAACCATGTTTTTAGGAACAAGACGTTGCATAAATCAGTGTGAAATATGAACAAACCCCTCAGTAAAAACCTTCAGAATATATATATTATATATTTATTCAGAATAAAGTTTTGGTGTGTAAGTGCTGCTGAAGTGGAGATACAACCTCATTTTGAGTCATTGAAACCTACAAATGCAAATAGATAAAGTGCAACAATAAAATCAGTGTGAAAATGATTTCAGCCACATACAAAAATAAAAAAAGGTAATTGTGACTTTACCTCACAATTCATACTTGTTTCTCACAATTATGAGTTTATATTTCGCAATTCTGACATTTTTCTTCGAATTGACATTGAAAAAAATCAAAATTTTGAGATACAAACTCATTTAAAGTAGCTTTTTAATTCTGTGTAGGAAATAAGCTTACTGAATGTAAGAATTACTTTTCCAGTTGTTCGTGATTTACTGGATACGAATTTGTAAAAAATCCTTATATATTTACTCATAACACTGCAAAAAATGTATTTAAAGTTTTAAATAACAAAACTTTTCTAGTTTACTGCAGTACGTTTTACAAGAAAATAATATTTCAGTCTTTGTACTTCAAAATTTCATGTTTAATTTAAACTCTGGTGCTCTTCAGTCATTTTTTACCAAAACAATTTACGTTTAGATTTTTTAAATGATTTTTTTTTACTTCATCTAAATGGTACAAAAATTGGTTAAGTTTTTGGCCCTTGCTACATGAACAGAAAAAAAAATCATGTACATGGTTTGAAAAGGTTAAATGGTCCTGAAAAAAATAGTCAGACTTCTATTCGTGGTCAAAAATGACGGCAATGGAAATGAATGGGAAGTGAATTTCATCTAGTGGAAATATTTGGTACTGCGGCAAAACAAAATCTGACTTGAAAGCTAATTTTTGTGATATCAACCTCAAATTTGGAACACAACATTTTTTAGATTTATGGCTTTGATTTTCTGTCATAATTTTAGAGTAAAACATGTTTTGGAAAATATTTCATATAAAATTTGCAAATATATATATTTCATATAAAATTTGCAAATATTATTTTTGTGCCCCAGAAGGTTAATGTGTTACTTGACATTTCTTTCTAATTATTTGTGAAATTTACTAGCAATTTGTGAAAAATGTTTGGCATAGCTAGTAAAATCTGTATTTATTAAAAATGCCCATGATGTTTTAAGATTTTATTAATTTTAATGACTTTTCCAGACTATCATGATTTACTGGATCAGAATAAAAACACTTTTTTTCAAATAATAATTTTAACAATTTTACAATACAATAAAAATAATTTGTATTTAACTAGTAAAATGTATGCTCATTATATAAATGCCCAAGTCATTTTAAGATTTTATTCATTTTTAAGACTTTTTCAGTTGCTCAGGATTTAATGGATAAGAATAAGAGATAGGGATTTAAAAAAATATGCACAAATTTATAATATAAAATGAAAAAATAATTAACTAGTAAAATGTGTATTCATCATATAAATGCCCCGTGTTTTTTTTAAAATGATTAATTTCTGTGACTTTTCCAGTCATTCATAATTTATTGGATAAAAATTAAAGATAAGGATTTAAAAAAATATTTTTATGTGCAGTTTTGTAATATAAATAATACAAGTTATTTAACTAGTAAAATGTATATTCATATATAAATGCCCATGTCGTTTCAAGATTTGTTTAATTTCCATGAGTTTTTCCAGGTCTAGAAATCACACTTTTAAAATGAGGCTTCCTCGTAAAGCCAGGTTTTCCAGGACTGTGTGAATGCTGGTTCTTCAAAGAAACAAACACTTGTTGAGAAGGTGAACCAAGTTAAGAAACATCTTGATTTTTAGTTGTTTGAGCTTATTCAATGCTTATTTTCTCTTGTTTTAAATCATGTTTATCTTCAGGCCTCTGGTTGGGAACGACTGGCTTGAGTTCAATCAATGCAGGAATGGAAACTCGAGTCACAGAACAATATCCAGACGTGTACCTGTGCCTGCAGCGTCTGAGGAAGCGCATGATCTTCCGCGCGGCCTGATCCTGTTTCTTGGTCAGGAACGAGCCTCTGACACACACACAACGAGAGTTTGAGCGAAGAATCACAGAATCACTCATATAATGATCTGCAGTGTGGTATATTGTGTGCGTCTCACTTGAGCATGGTGTTGAGGGCCCCGGGGCCGCGTGGCCCCTGCTTGATGCGCTCATACTCTTTATAGCTGCGGTAGTACTGCTGGATGAGGACGGCTGCTCGCCGCGACTGCTGGAACTTCTTCTGCTCGTAATAACTGCGGAACTTACTCTGAATCAGTATGGCTGCCTGCGTCATCTTCTTATACAAGGCGTACTGGAGGAGGAGAAACACACACAGTATTTACACACATAAATACTGCAGGAGAATATACACAAACACACACATGAACACACATCACACAGAAGTAACAGTGCAAAACCACAACAGTTTAAGCAGTTTAGTTCGACATTACCTTAAGTGCTATCCATGTTAGCTAGCATGAAATTAAACGAGAAACAGGAGGAAGATCAGAGACACGGCAGCAATATTAGTGTTAGCGAAGACGCACACACACACACACACAATCACGAACACACACTCAGAAGTTGAACAGTCAGTAACAGTTTGTTTCTTAACATCAAATGTTTCTGTATGTGTGTGTGAGTGAGTGTGTTTGTATCTACTAGCCATATTTTGCCTAACAAAATCCCCCACAGCCTCATTTTGGTGACGTTCTTGTAAAAGTGGTATAAAAAATAAATTAAATGTTCTTAAGGAAAGACACCCTGGAGCAGGGGTCTCCAAACTCAGTCCTGCTTTCACCATGCTTTCCCATTTGATTTATTACATTAAGAATTGGAAAAAAAAATTATGCATGACAAGTTTTCTGAAATGTTATATTTAAATATGCAAGCGAATCATCGCCTAACTAAATATGCACTAATTTGCGTACATTTCGAGAACATAAATCTGAACATTGGTTCAAAATTCTAGTTTGATCGTGTTGACATTTTAGAGTTAAAGGTTTCTCCAGAGGGGATTTTGGATTTCTCTTTTTATCACTCCATAAATCAGAAAATACTGTCAAAAGACAGAAACAAAGCATTTTCACCATGTTTTTAGGAATAAAATGTTGTATAATTCAGTGTGAGTCAAATATGAACAAACCCCACAGTAAAAACCTTCAGATTATAGAGAGGAATAAAACTCTAAGTGTTGGTGTGTGTAAGTCTTGCTGAAGTGGAGAAAAAACTCTTTAAAGATATATATTGGAATTGAAATCTACAGGCGAAAATAGACAAAGTGCAATAAAATAAACACTTCAGTGTGTATTCTGGATGTTTTCTTTCCACTAGTCTGAAAGAAGAGAGATGATATGGAAGCAAAACAGACCAAAATCTCAAAACTGAGTGAGCAGTGCATGAAAAAACTATGTTTTTGTCTGTAATGTCTTGCCTTTTTACACTTTATCTATTTGCGTCTGTAGATTTCAGTTACAATCCATATCTTCAAAAAGTTTTTTCTCCACTTCAGCAGCACTTACAAACACCAAACCTAGCAGTTTTATTCCTCTCTATATTATGAAGGTTTTTACAGAGGGGATTTTGAATTTCTGTGATTTTCACTCCAAAGATGAGAAAATACAATCAACAGACTGAAAAAAATGCATTTTCACCATGTTTTTGAGGAATAAAATGTAGTATAAATCAGTGCGAATGAAATATGAACAAACCCCACGGTAAAAACCTTCAGAATATAGAGAGGAATAAAACTCTAAGTTTTGGTGTAAGTGCTGCTGAAGTGGAGAAAAAACTTTTTGAAGATATGGATTGTAATTGAAATCTACAGACGCAAATAGATAAAGTGCAATAAAATAAACACTGAAAAGTGTTTTTTAGATGATTTATTTCCACTAGTCTGAAAAAACAAAACAAAAAAACAAATAGCCCAAAATCTCTAAATTAACCAGTGCATGAAAAAACGTTTTCGCCTGTAGTGTCTTGCAATAGAAGTGTATAGAATGTCCTCATTTAGACAGATAAGAAAACGTGCATGTGTGTGTGTGTGTGTGTTGTACCTGTTTGTATTTGCGGTAACAGCGCTGTATTACAGCTGCAGCCATGTCCTGCTGCTCCTTTAGCCTCCGCCCCTAAACACAACAACCAATCATTATCAAATCAGACACACACTCACAGTCAGTCATCGAGTGTGTGTGTGTGTGTGTGTGAGAGTTTGTGTGAGTGTGTGTGTACCTTGTATCTGCGGAAGGCATTCTGGATGATGCGCGCAGCTTCATACAGCTCTCTCTGCTCCGTGTCTGTCAGCGTCAGCAGAGCGAAGTCTCTCTCCATCCTTCCATTGGCTGAGGCGTTCAGAAACTCCGCCCACGCCACACTGCTCGGGGGGCGGAGCCTCTGCAGTGCCAAATCACTGAGGAGCGAGGGAGGGGTGGGGCACCGACTCCTACACACACACACACACACCCACACCCACACACACGTGTCATGTGCATAGTCACCTGAGATATGTACTTATTTTGTCACAAGTTGTCCTATGTATTTTTCATTTAATATTTTTGTTCATTACCTTTTACATCTTTGCTGTTTATTAATTGTTTTACTGCGTGCCAAAAAACCTATAATAAGGTTCTTTTCTCACAAACCACCCCATATAGTGTGAAAAGGCCAGCATGAGTTAAATAAACAATCTTTTTTTTTTTTTTTTTTTGATAAAAACATGGTGAAAATGCATTTTTTTCAGTCTGTTGATTGTATTTTCTCATCTTTGGAGTGAAAATCACAGAAATTCAAAATCCCCTCTGTAAAAACCTTCATAATATAGAGAGGAATAAAACTGCTAGGTTTGGTGTTTGTAAGTGCTGCTGAAGTGGAGAAAAAACTTTTTGAAGATATGGATTGTAATTGAAATCTACAGACGCAAATAGATAAAGTGCAATAAAATAAACACTGAAAAGTGTTTTTTAGATGATTTATTTCCACTAGTCTGAAAAAACAAAACAAAAAAACAAATAGCCCAAAATCTCTAAATTAACCAGTGCATGAAAAAACGTTTTCGCCTGTAGTGTCTTGCAATAGAAGTGTATAGAATGTCCTCATTTAGACAGATAAGAAAACGTGCATGTGTGTGTGTGTGTGTGTTGTACCTGTTTGTATTTGCGGTAACAGCGCTGTATTACAGCTGCAGCCATGTCCTGCTGCTCCTTTAGCCTCCGCCCCTAAACACAACAACCAATCATTATCAAATCAGACACACACTCACAGTCAGTCATCGAGTGTGTGTGTGTGTGTGTGTGAGAGTTTGTGTGAGTGTGTGTGTACCTTGTATCTGCGGAAGGCATTCTGGATGATGCGCGCAGCTTCATACAGCTCTCTCTGCTCCGTGTCTGTCAGCGTCAGCAGAGCGAAGTCTCTCTCCATCCTTCCATTGGCTGAGGCGTTCAGAAACTCCGCCCACGCCACACTGCTCGGGGGGCGGAGCCTCTGCAGTGCCAAATCACTGAGGAGCGAGGGAGGGGTGGGGCACCGACTCCTACACACACACACACACACACACACACACACACACACACACACAGAGTAGGAACAGACAAATGTAAAACTAGAAAGTGAAATCTAGTTTAATAAACACTAATCTCACATCAGCTAGTCAAGAACATGTTTGGGTCAAATTTCACCCTAAAATCACATCAAAAATATGATAATGTACACTTAATTTACGCTGATTTTTAATGTGTCATTTAAATATTTGATAATCATTATCTCGTGCAGAATGTGTTTAATTCATAGATTGAGCTTCAATATTCATTATCAACATTCAAATCATTCAAAATAATTTCCATTTAAATCACAAGATCCTTCTGGTCTTTCAGTCTTATCAATTTCCTGTGAACTGAACTATGACCTTGATGTTGCAAGCGCTGTGCTTTACTGTTTGAGTGACAGCAGCGCTCATGATTCCATCAAGTCTGGGGTCGGTAAGATTTATTAATGTTTCTGAAAGAAGTCTCTTCTGCTCACCAAGGCTGCATTTATTTGATCAAAAATACTGTAAAAACTGAAATATTATTACAATGTAAAACAGCTGTTTTCTAGGTGAATATGTGTTAAACTGTAATTTATTTCTGTGATGCGCAGCTGTATTTTCAGCATCATTACTCCAGTCTTCAGTGTCACATGATCTTCAGAAATCATTCTAATATGCTGATTTGCTGCTCAAGAAACATTTCTGATTATTATCAATGTTGAAAACTGTTGTGCTGCACAATATTTTTGTGGAAACTGTGATACATTTTATTTTTCAGGATTCACAGATGAATAGAAAGTTCAGAAGAACAGCATTTATTTGAAATAGAAATCTTTTGTAACATTATAAATGTCTTTACTGTCACTTTTGATCAATTGAATGCATCAATTTAGAAATCTTACAGACCCCATGCTTTTGGATACTAGTGTACAGGTGACTGCTCTTTGTGTTTATGTACCTGTCGATGGTGTCGAGGTATGTGGCGAGCCACGGCATGGTGTCATGAATGGCAGGATTGTCCCGCCTCTCTCGCAGTGGTGACTCCGCCTCCCGGTTAAACTCCTCCTGTTTGATTCGCTCAGGAGTGGCCTCGATGATCTGCTCGGCCAGCGTTGCCATGTCAACCTAACAACATAACATCGCAACGTTCATTCACCATGAGGGGGCGGAGACTTTAATGCTCTGTCCAATCAGAGCTGCTCTCACCTGTAGGACCTCGTCAGACAAGTAGTCCTCGTTCTCGCTGTAGTTGAGCAGCTCGTCGGCGAGCTCCGAGTGAAGAGGCAGGGAGGGGCTCGAGGCCTCACAGTCCATCAGGAAGAGCGAGTCGGTGGAACCGGCTGGAGGCGGGGCTGAGAATGGGGAGGAGGGGGAAGAGGCGGAGTCCATGGGGTCAGGAACAGAGCCACTGGAGTAGGCGGAGCTTGGGGAGGGAGAGGGCGGGTCACTGGGGGAGGGGACACTGCTGGACGAGCTCAGACCTGAGAGAGAGAGAGAGAGAGAGAGAG